GTAGCCTCTGAATGGACCCTTCAGAATTTCTTCTTTCATTGTCATGAGTGCCATTATCCACACCCATATGTTTCTCAGGTTACAAATTGTGTGTTGTCTGCTCCTGGGCTTCTTGGTTCTCTCTGACAGTGTTGCTGTCCATCGGTCATAGTTCTGAGGCGAAGCATGGCTGATTTGTAATTGTGGATGATGTGGGTGGCTATACCAAGGACCGTCTCCAAGAAAGGTTGGCGACAGCTGTTAGAACTCGGAAACAAAGTCTGAGGAAGCACTATGGGGTCTGACCGTGAGACCGCTAAGAAGCCGAAAGGTGGCATCCACACCTTGCCTTCAGCCCCCCACCCCACCCCAGGCTCGCTCGTCTCTAAGGCTCAGATCTCATTTTTCCCTTTAATGTCTTTTACTTTCATAGGGAAAGAACATCTCCCCTTCCCCCCATCCCCTTAGGCAGGGAATCAGGCCTTCTGTAAGGCAATTGCCAAGCTTTAGACAAAAAGAACCCATGGCCACAGACAGAGCTCTCGATCTTTTCCCACCACATTGGTCTTCTCTTGTTTCCTATTACAATCTTACTTAAAAAGACCTTCCCACTTCCCATGGCACTCGTGTTTCCAGGAATCTGCACCTGTCATCCCATTTGAGGGCATTAAAGCAGTCACAGCGCATGGCCAAAGTTTCTTCCTCAGGACTATGACTATGGCTCTCTCTCTCTCTCCCCCTCCCTTCCCCTCGCTTCCCCCCCACCCACCCACCCCATTCCCTGTAAGTGTCCCAGGATCTCTTCCCATCCTTCCTTTGTAACTGGAGCACTCCACCCATGCAGTTCCTTAAATCACCCCAAGCTCACTTGCTTTGGACTGTTTCCTGTCAAGTTTCATTTGCTTTGTAGCTGTTCTTCCCCTGCTTGGTACTGCTTCCGTCTAGGTATTAGCTTCTTACTTCTATTTTAACAATGTACCACAATGTCAGTGGTTACAAAGGGGACACAAATTTACATGGAAATCTAAACTGAGGTGACAGGGCTGTGGAGCTCCAGGGTTGAATTCATTGACCCTCTGTTTCCAACTGCTAGAGGCTGACTGTATTCCTTGGCCCAAGACTGTATCACTCCAGACCTTACTTCTACCACCATACTTCTCTGATCCTCTGTCTCTTCTGTAAATACTCACATGCAGAGTTCAGGATAACCTCCCAGATAGCAAGATCTTTAAAGACCTGTAAGGTCTCTTTTGCCTTGAGAAGAAAACAAGGCCTTCACAAGCTCAGGAGACTAGGATATGGTAGCACTGTGGAAGCATTATTTTGTCTCCCAGGTCCCCATTGATTTTGATGAACTCCTGGACTTTTGAGATCATGGAGGGAGAACCTCCAGGACTTTATCCACTCCTGCTTTTTCATATGTTGACCATTCTTGTATATACTATCCACTTCTCTGTGAAGTTCTCAGTTTTTGCTTTATGAAGTTTTAAGCCTTGCTATTATGTACATGAATATTAGGATTGTTATGTCTTGACTTATTATGAACCTTATTATTTATATGCTTTGCTTTTAAGTCTGCCTTTACAACTTTGTTTTATTGGTATTAATATGGTACATTTATTTCAGTGTATTTTGATCATTTTCCCTTCCCCAATTCCTCACAGACCCTCCCTATTGTGTAACTTTTAATATCAGGTTCCTTAACCTATTTGTATAAAGTGTTTACCATATTCAGTACACATATGGATATTTGGTTTTTAGGTGTATCTGACAATCTCTGCCTTTTAATTTTAATAGAAAGTTCAGACCACTTAAGGGATTTACTTATTTTTGAGACCGTTCTGTCTTGCTATGTTGTTCAGGCTAGCCTTTGAACTCTATAGAGCACAAATGAAATCCCTATCTCAACCTTCTGAATAGCTGAGACTACAGGTGTGTCTTAGTTTGGGTTACTACTGCTATGATGAAACATCATGACCAAAAGCAACTTGGAAAGGAAAGGGTTTATTTGGCTTACATATCCTGAATCACAGCCCATGGAGGGAACTCAAATCAGTTCTCTTTATCCAAACTATGAAAGACAGTTCCAGAGGAACATGTGGGTTGACGTCTCCAAGGGTAACTCTAGGTTTGGTGACTCACTAGAAAAATTTACAGAACTCAACATGAAGTTGTTCTTGTGGCTATTACAGGAAAAGATACAAAGAGCAGAGTCAACAAGGAGAAAATATACACAGCAGGAACCTGGGAGGAATCAGAAGCCTGCAAGTCCTTCCTCCGTGTAGCCATATATGACATACAACCTCTGTGGAATCAAACTGTGACAACGATACAGGAAATACTGCATAACAAGGAAGCAGAGTCAAGTATCTGAGGTTTTATCAGGGCCTGGTCACATAGGCACACTTTACCTGACACAGTCCCTCACTTCAGGTTGGTGAAAGGAGGTATTCATTATAAATCACTGTCCCTTATCATGTCTCTATTTAATCCCTCACTTTGGCCCCTGAAAAGGTGTGATAGGTTCTGCAGGATAATAGATTAAGACAAATGGAACCAAGCAGGAGCCCTGTGAAGAGCTGGAATATTGAGTACTCTTATCTTTGCTAGAGGTAGTAACACAGCTCTATATGTGCTATGTAACTATTTGGTGGGTGCATGTTTTCCCATCCCCATTAAGGATCAGAAATGTTCAAATGGAACAAAGAGTAAAATAGAGTCTTACCCTGAGGCTATTGATACTGTTGGTTGCTATAATTAAAAGATATATACTGTCCATTCTAAACAAAATTACATAACTGAAAATATGGATGAGGTGAATCCAATGAGATAAACTTAACATGCTAGTGCATGTTTAGTACTTGTAAGGCTGAGGCAGGAGGGTTACATGTTCTAGGCCAGCATGGGCCACATAGTGATCTACACCTCAAAAAAGTCCTTAAAAGAAGGCAGAGATATGGCTCCATGGATAAGAGCACCCAAATCAGGGTGCTCACCACTGTCTGAAACTTAGTTCTCAGGGCTTCATCACCCTCTTCTGGATTCTACAGACACCTGTACCCATGTGCACCCCCTCTGCCACAAATGCGTAGTTAAAAATACATCTTCTACAACAAAGCACCCAATACACCCTCTTCAAGGCATCTATGAGTGTAAGTGCTATAAAGGGTGGGGCAGAACTGTGTTACACTCAGGAGGCACTGTGATGGGGGTATGCCAGGACGTCTCCCTGAAGTCAAAGACAAACCACTACATTTGCACACTCTGCTATGAGGCCAGAAGCACAATGCCAGTTATTCTTCTGGGTTCAAAGGTGGTGCCTTTCACATTTGGTAATATTGTTACTTTGCAAATATTGGGGACATGAAGAGCTGCCAGTTTTAAGAGATACCAGATAACAAGTCGGTTCACACTGTGCTAAAAGCCAGGCTGATGTGTGTGCTTTTTATTTTTCCCAGAACATGTTGTTGAATCGACATATAAAAAAAATACAACACATTATTAGACAAAATTTTTATTTTTCAAATAAATAATAGCTTTCATTCCTCAATTATTTCTGTTAAGAATTTTACTTTTAAAAACTAAAACTGATTTAATATATTTTTATCTTTTAAAGACTTGTATAATTATAGGTACCTTTAGCAACAAAGTTTATATTCAGAAATTTAAAACTTGATATGGAAAAGAAAATGCCACACGGAATCCTTCGTACCTTCTTTGGAAATCAAAGGTGTTTCAGGGTCTAGAGACCAGTCTATATTTAGAAACTAGAGCTCTTGGGTCAGCTTTGGTTGCCTGAGGACATCTAGAGAGATCATGATTTAGCTTTACTATATCATCATCATCATTTGTTTTTTCAAGATAGGGTTTCTCTGTGTAGCCCTGGCTGTACTTTATCTCACAGAGATCCACCTACACGTACGTGCCTTTAATCCCTGGAGTGCTGGAATCAAAGACATTCACCATCACCACCTAGCTTAGCTTTACTTTATATGCAGCAGTTCTTCCCTGGAAGACCCAGGCTGCAACCTCTGAGTGGAGGACTGAGGTAGGGGCTGTGTTTAGGCATTTAGCTGGCAGGTGGTAGGGATCCTATACTAAGTCTGATTTCCATTGCTAACTACTCCTCTAGAAGAGTAAAGAGGAAACAGGGTTCTTCGTTCTTACTGATATTTGACTCTGCTGCAGCCTTTCCCTCAGTCAGCCTGTCACCAACTTAAATGTCCACGCTCACAGAGCGGCTGCGGGTTTAGAGTCTATCCATACTTCTTGTTAGAGTACCCACTATGACCTAGATATTACACAGGGAAAAGAAATGACAGGCAGGCAATTAAAAACAAAACACACGAGGGGATGAATAGATCTGTCATTCCCCTCCCTTAGCACAACACTTACCTTCCATATGTGGGGAAAGTCTCTTTTAGAGGGAAGATTTACACTCCCACATGAAAATTAAATCTCTTAACCACAAAAATCATCAATAGACCATATCGGTATGATATTAATATGAAACAAAGTTACAAAACATGAAAGTGATTTAATAAAACGATGAAACAATTGCTACACATATTCTAATGACTAGTATAGGTGTCTCTGAATAAGGTTCATTCCCAGACCTGTGCTCAGCATGGGGTGGGACTCTGGCCAATACTTTTCATTCTAATGCACAGTATTTATGACTCTTCAGGTAATTTTTAACATTTGGTTCAGTCAGTAAATAGGTAAGACTTTTCTTTTTTGTATATTTGGTAAGAAGTCTCAAAGCAGCTCTTTGAATGTCCATTCCTCTAGGTCATTAATAACTGTCACGGGACAGTCACCAATTCTCTTTCTACTTCCATGGCAAGGTCTGTACATTTTAAATAGTTTTCCAGTTTTTTTATGTTTTATATAAGTTTTCTTATGTTTCACATGCTTCCACTCTGATGCATAAAGCTATTCTTTTTTTTTTTTTTTTTTTGGTTTTTCAAGACAGGGTTTCTCTGTTTAGCCCTGGCTGTCCTGGAACTCACTCTGTAGACCAGGCTGGCCTCGAACTCAGAAATTCACCTGCCTCTCTGCCTCCCAAGTGCTGGGATTAAAGGCGTGCGCCACCACCGCCTGGCTAAAGCTATTCTTTATGGTTTACATCAGACTAGTCCCTGTGAGGAGGAATGGCACACTATACCAGACAACTGGCACCCTGTCAGTGGTCTCCTTTAACTAAAAAGGCAGTAAGTCTTTTCCATGTGTTATTCTCAGGGTCAGTGCTACCGAGTGTCTCATTAAAAAGAATACTCTGTAGTATGATTAATAACGAAAGCACCTTGGGGTGGGTGCAAGATGAACATGTGTTGTAAACAAATTCTGCTTTATAGTAAAATATTTAAAATTAGAATCACAATTTACTATGAAACATACAAGTAAACGTAGGTTGTTCTTTCTAATTGCCAGAACTTAATGTGGCCAACTTGATATATTTCCTGACTTTTGTGAGATTTAACCACTGTACAGTAGTGACCCAGTACTAGTTTAGGCCTGTAAAAATATAATTGTCACAAGTCACACAAGAGAATGACCACACCACCTTTCTGCACATCTTTAACAAGTTTTTGGCTTGCATAAAGCTGTCACTGCTGACAGGACTGAGTGGCGGTGTGGGAGAATCTTCTAAGAAGCATTATCATGTCAACTGCAGATGGAACATTTAAGAAATGACTTCACAAAATACAGTCTCATCCTGTGCTTTCATGACAACATTCCCAACAGAAAGCATCCAGTCTATTGGCTGTTTCCTGGCTGATCAGACTTTCATCCTTTAATTCCCTGATTGTCTTCCTCAATGATTTTTGAAAATGTTTTTCTCGGTCCAAAACATTCTGTAGGCTTTCCTTGGTATTCTCTAGCTCGATGATCACATGATCTAATTTATGCTTAAGTTTCTTTGGACTGTCCATAACACTGTAGCTATGTTCCTGAAATAGAAACACCAGGTCTTTGAATAAGACAAGTGGCCAGCCAGAAGCTTAACACTAAGTTTCAGCTATTTCTTCATTTACAATTCTTAGGGAGATCATTTGCGGGTTAACAAACACAGGACGAGATAGATACCAAGTGGAAGGAGTATTATGGTGCCTGAGGCTCTCTTCTTTGAGGCTGGGCATGTGTGAGGAGCATGGAACACTGCTCATGGGAAACACTGCTCATTTGAAGTTCCTGTTTGCTATGAGCACTGCACCTGCAAGACCCATACAGCTTTCATTCCTTAAGTATGGCACCGATAAAAATGTTTATGTCTATCAAATAAATTTTATTTTTTCCCCCAGACACAGTTTTTCATGTCAAGAATGTTTGGAAAGGACTCTATGAACTGAGCTACATCCCCAGCTCCAAGACAGTAATTTTTACTTCGTTTTGAGGAATCTTACTTTGTTAGAGGTACCAGGAAAGGCATACGAAAGCACATGCCTAGGCTGATTGCAAGGGATTTGGAGAGAACGCCAGTCTTGGAATTTAAAAAAGATAATTTGGTTTGTATCAATATTTATTTTGGCTATGCTTAAGTAGTATGCTGATAATGTACTTTGTTAATGTTCATTTGAAAATGGAAAATAACACTGATATAGAAAGATCTTATAAGCTATTTTTATCAAGTTATTCAATATTAAAATGATTGAAGAAGACTTTTGCTTCTAGGAAGGTGAAGAAAAAGACTGGGTTGATACCACATGAACCAGTGTGTGGTCCAAAGACCCAAACATGTTTGAGGATAATGGGTACTATATAAGAGAGATAGCTTCACAGACAGATGGGAGATACAGTACGTGCTATGACCACTCTATGGACTTGGAAGAGCTTGTAGGCCTTATAGCAAGGATGAGAAAGCCATGCAGAGTGTGGTATTTAAGAGCAAGGAGATTATGCAAAACATCAGGGAAACCAAGGAGGCTGTTTTGTTTTTCTAATTTTGTGTGTGTGTGCATGTGGAGGCCTGAGGCTAATGTACATAAACATCCTCTATTGCCAGCCTCTTTATTCACTGAGGCAAGGTCTGTCCATCAAATCCAGAGCATGCCGACTGACATTGCTCTAGGGATCCTGTGCCTGCCTTGTGAAGATGGAATGACCACATTTATAACCATTGGGCCATCTCCCCTAGCCTGAATAATAAACTTGTAAATAACCCATGGGTTGAACACCAAAATGAAACAGAAACTGAAAATATGAAAGACAAAGAGAATACAACTTATTATGGAATGTAATACTTAGGGAGAAATTAATGCCATTGAATGCCTAGCCTAGAAAGATACAAGTCTTAAATGGCATCAGCTTTCACCATAACTAGAAAAAGGCAAGAACATTTTAGAGAACTAAGTAGAAAAATTATAATAACACATGAGCAGAAATTAGGGAAGTATAAAAGAAAATGAATAAAAGCCACATGCTATAACAAGATCAAGAAACTTGTTAACCCTTCAGGCATACTAATTGGCAATGTAAAAGACCAGAAACAAATGAGAAGCAAAGAGTCAACAAAAGGATCAATAAGGAGATAGTATTAAATGCTTTATCCTAATAAATGTAGTAACTGTGACGAAATGGTCAAATTCCTTGGAAGATAGAAGCTACTATTTTTTCCTTCAACAAACAACACTAAAATTCACTAAAGTCTGTCAAATATTTATAAAAGAAATTTATCATTCTACAAAAACCGTTTCTCAGAAAACTGGAAAAGTCAGCAATATTTTCTCACTTTTAAAAAAAGGTTAGTATTATTCTGATATTGATGTCAGACAAATGCAACATTAAAGGGGTTGGGGAGCCCTATAGGCTAACTATAACCCTTGAACATCAAAGGAAAGATTAAATAAAAATTCGCAAAAATACATAAAAAGGAGGATGTGTTACGAAGCAAGAGTCATTCCTGGAATAAAAGGTTAGCTAAGCACTCAAGAAGTCATCGACATATTAACCTATAAGAGAAAAATGGCACTGGTAGATGGAATAAGGCCTGGCTATCGGCTCTCAATACTTCTATTAATCCTGCTCTGGAGGCTCAATGCAGTTCAGTAAAGCAAGGAAAGGCATGGAAGACATTTACAGTAGAAAGGCAGAATTAAAACCATCCTTAAGCACAGAGAACATGATGTGCTATGCAGAAAATCTGATGGCCTTAAAAATTAAAGCCACTATAATTAATATTTGAGTTCAGCATGTTTGTCAGACATAAGCTCAACAGAAAATGAATGGCATTTCCATCTTTTAGATGCAGATGAAGTAACAGCATTTGTAACAGCCAGAACACAGGTAAAATACTGAGGCACAAACCAGACAAAGCAATCTGAGTGCTGAATGCTATGAAGCAAGGCTAAGAACTGAAAGACATGCAAACACTCAAGTTCAAGTTCAAAGGCTTCTTATCATCCTTGAAGTCTCAGTAGTCCCCAAGAGTGACTAGAGAGGCAACAGCAAACTGGTGAAAACTCAGCATGGCTTTTGGTAGAATTTTACAAAGTGATTTTAAATTCATATAGAAATGCAAGGAATCTATAATAGCCAAAACACCTTGAAAAACTAACAAAGTCAGTAGACTAACAGTACCTGATTTTAACAATTATTATAAAGCTGCAGTAAAACAGTTTCCTTTCAATGCCTGGCATTATATGAACAAGCGGTTTATGAATAAGTAAATAGAAGCTTGAATACTCTGTATTATATGTGACTATTTTTCAAGAAAACCTAAAGATACAGCTATTTTTTAATTACATATTTCCATGTTGTACTGGTTAGTTTTGTGTGTCAACTTGACACAAGCTAGAGTTATCACAGAGAAAGGAGCCTCCCTTGAGGAAATGCCTCCATGAGATCCAGCTATAAGGCCTTTTCAAAATCAGTGATCAAGGGTGGGAACACCCATTGTGGGTAGTGCCATCCCTGGGCTGGTAGTCTTGGGTTCTATAAGAAAGCAAGCTGAGCAAGCCAGGGTTAAGCAAGCCAGTAAGTAACATCCCTCCATGGCCTCTGCATCAGCTCCTGCTTCCTGAAGTGCTTGAGTTCCAGTCCTGACTTCCTTTGGTGATGAACAGCAATGTGGAAGTGTAACCTGAATAAACCCTTTTCTCCCCAACTTGCTTCTTAGTCATGATGTCTTATGCAGGAATACAAACCCCGACTAAGACACATGTAGAAAATATAATACTTAAAGGGAAGAATTATTTTATGGGTAGAGTAATCCTTGCAAAAACAATCCTCAAACTAAGTATATAACCAAATGATTACCTACTTCTGTATTGCTCTTCCATACGTCCAAATGACAGTGGTCATGGGAAGCCCGCTTACTTAGAAACATATACTAAAGAACCCTTCACTAACAAGCCCACATCTTGTTTTTCATTGTGATTCTTACGCATTTAATCCTAGTGGAGAGGGCATATTTACCTTAAAATAATGAACTCAGCACTTGCTCAGTAGATACTTTTACTTACAAAAATGAACTGGGGTTGGAATTCTTCAATGCATGAGGCTCCAACAAGCTGGTGGCCATGGTTAGTGACAGGAAGGGTTTTGAGAATGAAGTTTTTTCTACAATGAAGTTTTTCTCTTTTCTCCTGTTAGGAACAGTTAATAAGAACCATTCAGATACTGCATCTCTTCTTACAGTTCAGTTCCTTCCTAACTCTGTGAAGTACCACATTCCTTTTCATGAGAACTGCTGCAGAAGTCAGTAGCTTTCATTCTGTTTACTTTAACAGAACATCCCTAGGGCTCCTCTAAAAAGATGACAGGAGAGGACCTGAGTAAGCAACTTACATGAAATCATGTTCCACAGTTACTGAAGAAAATGCACTCTCAGATATACTACACCATGGGCAATGTCAAGGGCAAAGTGGCCAATTCCCAGCATCATCACTAGCAAAGAGCAAAAGTCAGCTAGGTCTGCTACTCAACCCTTCTGTTTTCCTTTTCTAACCTCATCTCTTTCATTCTTTTCCCATTCTTATCCATTTTTCTTTTCTTTTCTTTCTTTTTTTTTGTGGCTTTACTTGGAACCGTATTTTGGTCCTGTTTGCACTTTGCTCTTGACTTTACTTCTTTTGAGCCAGGGTTTCTCTGTGTACCCCTGGCTATGCTGGATCTTGCTCTGTAGAGCAGGCTGGCCTTGAACTCAGAGATCTTCCTGTTTCTGCCTCTGGAGTGCTGGGATTAAAGTCGTGCACTGCCACTGAGCTCTCTGAAACTTCAGTTCAATCTTCTCTGTTTTTAAGACAACAGTTCTGAGTTAGAACAATTTTTCTCCATCCGTCAACTTACCTGAACCCTGGTAATGTGCATTTATGAGAGGCTACTGGTTAAATTCTCCTGTTATGCATCATGAAAGCTGAAGCTACAGGCTATAAAAACTCACAGAATGCACTTCAAATGAAGAAAGCAGCACACGCGAGCGCATGGGTGCTGAAGGGGCTTCAGGATTGTCACCGGGAATGAATTCCTACAGCTCATAACAAACCTGCAAGTGATAAGGGGATTCAAAGACAGAAGGGATGGCTCCTGGTTTCAGCTTAGTGTTTGGAGTGCTTCTGTCAAAGTCTGTCTTCTTGAAGTGCCTTGAACATAGCACATCTCCTTTTTTAGGCTCCCAAATGCCTGCAGTATTCACATCTAGTCTTTTCATGGCTAATACCCACTTTCTTTTGATATTTTCATCTGTGGGGAATCTAAAAAAAAAAAAACAGCAACAATATATTTTAAAACCGAATACTATTGATATAGTCAAACTGAAATATTTCAGAAATATTGCTTATATAACAAATCCAAAAAATTACATTTATGTATCTGTGTATGGGTGTATGTGCATGCGTGCGTGTGTGGACATGCACAAAAGTATTCTATAGCATAAGTAGTATAGATTAGAGGGCAGTTTATAGAAATTTACTCTTTCCATCAAGTGGTTCCTGGTTATTGAGTTTAGGTCATTAGGCTTTGTGACAACTGCCGTTACCTGCTAAGACATTCTGTTGGCCTCATAGGTCAGGTTTAATATCCAGATTTTTCTGCCAATCATTCTTCATACACATAGCCTTTATTTAAATTTTACTATATCGTATGAATGTTTCAGTGGACACTTAGAATGTTGTAGCAAGATTTGTAATGAAAGGTTTTTCTTTAAGAAGTTGAAGAATACCGCTGGCCTTTCTCTTTCTGAAGTGATATCCAGAACTTGTCCTCAATGACTAGGAGGGCCTCCTGAGCTTTTGCCTTTCTGTCAAACCTGAAAATTACTTGTATAGCAACTCACATACAACAGGCCTAGACATGCTTTATGAATGCGTGCAGAGAAGAGCAGCAGAGTCTAGGGACTACAACTATTTTGACAGACATGGGAGGCAATAATCAGGTTTCTCAAAATTTCCAAGCTAGTTCAATATTGTTTTGGGATACAGTAGCACATACATACTTTTTATTTCCATGCCTAATGTAACTAGATCTTTCCCTAGTAATAACAGTGCTTCACAAAAGCTGCAAAATCCTAGGTATGTTTATTAAATCCTATTAGACCCTTCCTATGGGTGTCACAGGAATGGCCAAACACTAAATTAGAATCCTCAAACCTTATCTGCAATGCAGCTAAATAATCCTTGGTCTGAACTTGCAGTTTACAGTGAAGAACTTTGCCTCATCTATTTCTAAATAGAAGGTATGGATATTTGAACAAAGAGCCCTCAGATTGTAAACTATATAGAAACAATACTGAAGTTAATACAGTTAGAATGTAAACATTAGCAAAGATGAGTCTGACAATTTGTGCACGGGTGTATTTTATTTTTGGTGGTGGTGTTATCTGGTCTTTCATTCCCTGACACTTAAAACTTGGACATTATAAAGGAACCATTGTCAAATTTAACAAGGTTATTTTTAAAGTACTTGGGAACAAAACTTATAACTGCAGATTCAGGTAGAATCATTTTTAGTAAAAAGTTAAAAGTATTTGGCTTGAGTACAGCAGAGTCTTACACATGAAATGTCAGTCCTTTTAACTTGGAATTTGGCAAGCAGCGTGAAGCACATCCAATGGCTGAGCAACATTTCACCATGATTTTAGCAACTCATAACAAAACTGTAAGAGAATTAAAATGAATTAGTAACTTTAGGGCTAAGCAAAAGGCATCTCCTCCCGGACAATCGCCTCCCCTCGCCCCTCTATCCCCAACACCTGAAATTTTGCTGATAAAATGTTCTAAGTCTTGTTATTTTGTAAGAGTGGACATTAAGTTGAGGTCTGAGATTCCAACTTTGTAGGCTTCTTTATTCCTCTCATATTCTTACGGGCTAGATTTTCTCTCCCAGAGGTCTTTGCACACTAACTCCTGTTGGCGTACTGTTTGCCATTCAACTTTCAGCCCGAGTGTCCCTGTCCCCTTCCCCGGGGAAACCATACACGATTGTCCTTCCAGTGTCGCTCCAAGTTGTGATGTGATTTAATGCAGAGGTGTTCTCCCCCTATCCATCTGTGAGTTCCACTGGGACGTGGCGTGGCGTGGCGTGCCTGCTTTTTTTCACTTTTCGTTCTCGTGTCCTGGGTGGTGACAGGAACCTCTTTTAAAGGAAGAGCTGGGACAGGCGAACGGTACCGTCGGATCAAGGAGCTGCGTGCGCAGCCGCCGAGCTCCGCCCCCTTTTGGGCGGCCGCGGACAAGGCCGAGGGAGGGGCCGCTCCTCACAGGCGCCGGCGGCCCAGGGCGGCCTGCAGCAGTGCCCGCCCGGCGTTGTGGCGGTCCCCTTCGCCCCGCAATCCAGGCTGGTAGCGATGCCGGGGGAAAGAAGAGCCAACCTAAGAGTTATTACCGTCACCAGCGACGACAGCGACTAACGTTGACCACGGACTAAGTGTCTCACTTGGCTTTCGCCCCTTCGACCAGGAACCGGAAATCTGGCTGCTCTAGATCACGTGATCAGCCGCCATATTGACTGGTGGCAGGTGCTCCGAGGAGGAGGGATTATCAAACCGGCTCTGCTTCTTTAAGGCGTGGCTTCCATGCTGGGGGAAGGTTCTGTGGATTGTGAAGGGGAGGTGGCGGAGGAGATGGCGGCGACGGCGGAGGAAGATGGCGTCCGCAACCTGGCGCAAGGGCCGCGGGGCTGCGAGCACTATGACAGAGCCTGTCTCCTCAAGGTGACCATTTAAAGGGCACTTCCTGACGAGCTGCCGTATGGTCGGGCTGGGGCAGGTTGGGCTAGGCGGTTAGTCTTGGGCATAAGTTTTAGACTGATCTGCTTGTCAGGATACCTTCCATCTGGAATTGGGTTCCCCTTGCAGGGAACGTTTTGGCAAGGCGAGCAAGAGCTCTGTACTCGATCTCAGCTTTTATTCGTTGCAAGCAAAGTTCTTGTTTGTAAAGACCTGGCCCTTGCATAAAGTCACTTCCCTAGTGGGGTTATTCGTCTCTTGCGGTTGACGGTAGAATGAGGAAGTGAAAGGCCTGTCCTAAGCGGGTCTGTCAAGTGTGTATGATGCAGCAATGAAAGCATAAGCAAGGGGAAAATCAGAATATAATCTCTGTACGTATAGTAAGTTTATAGTATAGCTTGTCAGCTTCATTTTGCTGTCTAGGAATAAGCCCAGACCTGTCCAGGAGAAAATATATGTGTGAAATGAGAGTTGTATAATTGCCATTAAGTTGGATATTGGAGAAGTGCCTAGTGCATAATATGCTATCATTTTTCCTGCTTGAGACGTTCTAGTCATCTAGAGTTTTTAAAAATGACTGTCACACAGTTAAGACTTTCCTGATTTTTTTAAAAAAAAGAAGTAATGTTAATATTTTGTTGAGAAAGCCTGAGATTTGAGCTGAGGTTATAACTCGGCCATAGAATTGAATTTAAAATGCTGAAGGCCTTGGCTTTAGTCTTCAGAAGTCTCCTTCCACTGAGACTTGGACTGTTAGAATCCTATAGCTTTCCCCTCATACTTTAGATCTGTCCTTAACTTGCTCTGTAATTTTGAGCAAGCTATTTTTTAAAGGGCTTGTATATAAAATATACAATTTTAGAAGCTGGTCTTAATGGTAAAGACCTGTAGTTTCAGAAGATGCATACTTCCGGCTATTTGTGAAGCAGAGGCAGAAGGAATATCAACCTGCAGGTGTTATTGCCAATAAGAAAAAAAATGAGGTGGGCCAGGAGATACATATGGGTCATTGCTAGAGTACTGGCCTCACCAGAGAGTCTCTAGGTTCAATCTTCTCTGCCAACTGAGAGTTTTATAAACAGTGTGATGATTGCATACTAGAGTGCACATGTGGTGTTTAGGAGGTGTGTCCCCAGCAATGACTAGTAGTAAATATTCACTACCACTCACTGGTCATCAACTTCTCCTCCTCCTCCTCCTCCTCCTCCTCCTCCTCCTCCTCCTCCTCCTCCTCCTCCTCCTCTTCCTCCTCCTCCTCTTCCTCCTCTTCTTCCTCCTCCCCCTCTTCCTCCTCCTCCTCTTCCTCCTCTTCTTCTTCCTCCTCCCCCTCTTCCTCCCCCTCCTCCTCTTCCTCCTCTTCTTCCTCCTCTACCTCCTCCACCTCTTCCACCTTCACAATTGGGCCCTGCTGGTCACTGACCTTATAAGTTAGGATTAAGTGATAGGCTTAGATCTGTAAGACAACTTAAACCCTTTTCTGTAGGCCATGGCTTGGTGAGCATTCATTGCATTGGATGAATTTTTCAGACTGGTCAATTATCTAATGTTGTATAAGAAGTTAAATATTATTCTTTTGATTACATTTCTACTGAAATATTTTTACAGTTTCAAAGTGAAGTATGAAACTGAATTTAACACCTGCCCTTCCCCACCCACCCCTGCAAAGAAATTGCACAACCAGATTTGTGTTTCACAGCACTTAAAATATTTTTCCCTGAGTGTCAAGCATTGTTTTTCTTTCCCCTCTTCCTTAAATAGGAGAGGCCAGCTGAGGTGTTTGAAGGAGCAAGTCATCTGCTAGATCAAGTGTAGCTGTTCAAGTAAGATAAGGAGGAACAACTGGCTTTTGATTTGGCAAGGGGAGGGTCACTGTTGATCTTGACAAGTGTCAGTGAAAGGATCCAGGATGAAGTTTCCTTAGGGTGGATACTGGAAGTAGCATAGAGGATTTTTGGATTTTTTTTGCCAAGGAGAACAAAAATGTGGCTGTTTTGCAGAAAGCTGTGTTACAGTATGTTTCTGTACGCTGGGAAATGATCTAACAGGTCATTTTGTAATGCAGCAGGAAAAGAGAGAACCATTGAGTAGTCAAAGTGGTAAGATCCAGCGTACAAGTAAGGCTGATCTTAGCTGGCACGGCAGAGCATAAGAATGTGCTTCTTTCTCTAGTGCAGTAATAAACGCCATAACTAAAAATTACCTGGGGAGCAAAGGGTTTATTGTTTGACTTTCCTGTAACAGTTTGTTATTAGGGGAAACCAAGGCAGAATCTCCTGCAGGGCAGATAACTGAGGTAGGAACTGAAGCTGAAGCTGTGGAGGAATGCTGCTTACAACTGGTTTGCACTCCATGGCTTGCTAAGTCTTTTATCTCCTCCCTCCCTCCCTGCACTAAAGTTATTAATATTTATTAAATCTTAGCTCATACTCATAAACATTTCAATAGCTTATTTGACAAGTAGAAAACTTTAAGCAAGCACTTTGGTTTTCTTGAGGAAAGTTTTTAGCCAATTAGTTGGCTTGTGAAGTTAGTTAATTGCTTTGTTCATGGAACCTTTGACTTGAAAAAAAATTGGTCATTCAAGCTTGAGTATGTGGCAGACATTGTCTTAAAAGGGGAAAGGAGTCAAACTTATGAAAGAGAAACAGTTGACAGTGCTTTCAAAACATTAGTGGCTTTAGTATGAGATGTTGTAGCTGTAATTCATATAATCAAAAGTTCTTTGATATCCTTAAGAGCTTTAGAGTATAACAAGGTCCTGAGTTTGTGAACTGTTGTTGTCTAAGTATGAGACTGTGTCAGAGGAGGGTTAGAATACAAGGCCATTTAAAGTGAGAAAATTTATGTATTGAAAGGATTATTGTGGATGTATTCATATTTAGGTAAGAGTAATGTTGGAGAAAAAAGAAGCCAATAACATGTTTTAGCATGAGGGATGAACTATGTTATGGTTCAGTTATAGCATAGGAAACCAACAGTAAAGTGCAGATTTGCAAAGTAATAGTATTAGGCTACTCCACTGGCCTAAGAATTTTTTTTTTTTGACTGTCTTAGGGTTTCTGTTGCTGAGACTAATCACCATGACCAAAAAGCAACTTTATTTGGCTTATACTTCCATACCATAGTACATCACTGGGGGAAGTCAGGACAGAAACTCCAGCAGGACTGGAACCTGGAGGCCGAAGCTAAAGCAGAAGCCATGGAGAGCCGCTGCTTATTGGCTTGCTTCCCTATGTTGTCTCATAGAATCCAGGACCACAGCCCAGGGATGGTCCCATCCACAATACTCATATGGCCCTCCCTCATTGATCATTAATTTCGAAAGTGGATCTCATGTAGGCATTTCCTCAACTGAGGTGCCTTCCTCTCTGATGACTCTAGCTTGTGTCAATTTGATACACAAAAATCAGCCAGTCCAACTTTTTTTTGTTTCTTTGAGAGTGTCTTAAGTTTGGTTTCCCCCTCTCCCCCCCATTTATATTTGTTGCCTATGCAATATTAGGTATATGCATCAGGATTTGTAAATATTAGTGAAGTTAAATCATTTTGTGTTTAGATGTTGTCTTAGTCAGGGTTTGTATTCCTGCACAAAACATCATGACCAAGAAGCAAGTTGGGGAGGAAAGGGTTTATTCGGCTTACACTTCCACATTGTTGTTCATCACCAAAGGAAGTCAGGACAGGAACTCACACAGAGCAGGAACCTGGAGGCAGGAGCTGATGCAGATGACATAGAGGAATGGTGTTTACTGGCTTGCTTCCCCTGACTTGCTCAGCTTGCTTTCTTATTGAACCCAAGACCACCAGCCCAGGGATGACACCACCCACAATGGGCTAGACCCTCCCCCTTTGATCACTGATTTTGAAAAGGCCTTATAGCTAGATCTCATGGAGGCATCTCTTCAAGGGAGGCTCCTTTCTCTCTGATAACTCCAGCTTGTGTCAAGTTGACACACAAAACCATCCAGTAGAGATATTAAGGTATATACATGATTTTTTCCCCTGACTTTTCTATCTTGAATGCTGAGATTAGGTAATGAAACTTGTAGGTGCTAGGCAAATATCTTCCATTAAGCTACATCCCAAGCCTGGGGATTTCTTGATACAGCAGGGTAAAAATTAAATACTTACAATGAAATGATCTAACAATAATGATGTTTAAATAATAAAGAATACATTTCTTTCCATTAACAGTTCTAAAGTGATCAGATGGGTGAAGAGCCTCTGTTTGATTTGGTTATTTTAGAGTTAAGTTTTTTTTCCTGTTATATTATTTTGACATATTTTAAGGCATATGTTCATGTGTGAGATCCAACTGTAGAATAATTCGGTAATGTGTTCAGGAAATAAGGAACAGATTTCAGTGGACAACTGGCAGTTATTAACTTTCTCAAAATCAGTGAGGCTGGGTGTGGTGATGCATGGTTTTAGTCCTAGCACTTGGGAGGCAGGGATAAAATGATCTTGAGGCCAGCCTGTTT